TTTTGTCACAGTCCTGGAATAAAATCTCTGTTGGGTTAAAAGATGTATTGTCCCTTGAAAAAAAAAATGATTTTGAAATAAGCTTGCTCATATTGCAATAGCATACAAATTATTACCTTGTGCATAAAAATGATTGAATTAAAAAAATGTGTACCCTGATTTTTAAAACAAAAAATTATAATAAAAATAATAAAACACTTCCAGTGACTGGAAGTGCTTTTTTTTTAATCATTTTTCGCTGTAAACCGATGGGTAGACATTTTTTAAATACACTAATTTCTATGTTCAAGATGATAATTTTTATGTTACTTCAAAATCAACAAGTTAATCTAAAAAAATATTTTTATGATTTTTTTTGTTATTTTTTACATCTTTAATAGGGAGTGATTTCTTGGTTTACAACGGCCTAAACTTGTACTTTTGGAACGCATTTATTAGGGATTGGCAATCACAATAACTTTGTTTGAATTGGGCCAAAGGTGTTCATTCTTGTCTGAACTGTCTACCAAGATAAAAAAATAATAAAACAAACAAACAAACAACAGTATTCATCGTATAAAACTAGATCTACTCACCATCACCTCTTTTGTACATACTTTTCTATTGTGTTGCATTAGCTAGAATATATAAAGTAAAATATAAAGCTAAATCTTCTCACCATATTATAAACATCTTGTATCATACATTATCTTTTTTTTCATGTACTATTCTGTATGGTGTTTTTATTTTCCAGAATATATGATATAAAAGAAGATCTATGTGCAACCTGACAATCTTGGCTTCAATCCCCCTCCCTCCCTCCCCCCACCCAAACTGAGTTTCCAGGACCAATGTGAGGGCCTTTTTTGTTGTTTGTTGTTTTCTAATTATTAATGCTTGTACCTGCTTTTCATGTTCTTACATCTCGTATTGATAAATTTAATAGCCCTTCACAAACTAATAAATATTTGTTACAACATTGCATAATTGAGTGAGTACCAGTATTTCATTCATTATATTAATTTATTCCAGAACAGCTTATCCTTATACAAACGATGAATGCATAGTTGAATCAAATGAAAACTCAAGCTCAATTATGTGCAGCTATAATTGACAAAAAAAGCCGAAAGTGCATAACAAAAATTACAATTGTTTTATTAATTTATATGTATACATCATTAAAATCTAATAATAATAATATGTTGAAGCAAGTGGAACAATCAAAGCAATCAAAACATAAGAGTCTGAATCTAAATCTGACCAGTCATGTGTGTTCTAAAATTATAGTGAAGGACTGGAAAAAGTGCATGACTCGCAGTTGGAGGCATCATGAATTTTTGCAGGCACTTTTTTGTGGAAAATTACAACCACTGTTTGGTTGTATGTACGCACAGTGGAAAGTTAACACTTGATGCCGCTGGTGGCATTTTTTAAAGATAATTTTCATGGCCAGACACAACATGTTTTTTTCTGCAGACTTATTTTCTCCAGAATTTATATTTTTTTGTGATATAGTTGTTAATTTTATTTCATAATCAATGGGCGCCCGTTATAAAGCTTGATTGATGTGGCGACCCTTTTTCTACTTTATTTAAATGTTCTGATGGGCTTACATTCTTATCAATTATTGGTTTTTTTTTTTTTTTTTTCTTATGTATTTCTCCGTTAAAACTTTATATTGTATTGAATTGAAGACTTGTCCTAGGCAGCACTATTTTCACGTTGTCTGTCTTCACACAGAAATAGCAGGTTGTCTATTAGGTTTGAATGCCAATTTGCTGACAAAAGACAAGAGTTTTTATTTTTAATACATAGAGCAAACTTTATTTTTGATAAATCATCACAGCATGGGCAATTTTTTTTTTTTTTGGTACATTTTGTTTTGTAATTTAGAAAACCATTTTGCTAAAAGCGTTTGGTCTAGAGAAAAAATAAAAATATGATTTTGTTGACGAGTGTGTCCTATGCCCTTTTCTTAATGTTGTTCCCTTTAGGCTTCCAAGTATGCTTTTCATAGGTGTTTCATCCCATGATCATGGTAGTATTCTGCCGAAGCTAATAAAGGCCTTTAATAGGATACTGTGCTATATAATTCACTGGTTCATTATCGTTATCCTATCGTTAACGAAATATTATTGTAACATATACTTTAATATGGTAATATTATCAGCTGTAAAATTTTTATGTCTTGGAATTAATCGTTATTGTCAGTGTGACGTGTATGAAACAAGTTATATAAAAAGTCTTTCCTTAGCTGCATTATGGAATATTACTCTCAGGCTGTTTTCCATGTGTTTGATCCAGTGACCGATTTATTAATCTGAAGGAAGAAAAGGCCTTGAAATGCATGCTATATAATTGACTTGGTGTTATTTTTTCTTCATTATTGTTATTTTTATCTCGGTTGTTGCCGTTATCTTTATTATTGTTGTATAACAATATCGCCTAATGATTGCCACATTGGTTAAAAGCTACTCCAGTCGGTGATTTTCTTGTGCTTAATGTTAAATTTTACATAAACATGGACATCATCACTTAATCTTACGGAATCTATGATACTAAAGGCCAATTGGATGTGTGTAAAAGCCATTTGTTAAGTTCAGTAGCTATAACTTAATAGACGTGGGCGTTGTTTTTATAATTTTTAAAAGACGTTGTGATCAATATTGTGAAGCATATCAGTTAATTTTCAACTTGTGTGAGAAATCAAAGAAGATTAGAAAAATAGCGGAGAAATCATTCCAAGGTGAAGAGTGATGATACACTAACATAAGAAGACCAACTACAATTATAACAACAGCAACAACAAAAACAACAGCAATTTGGTAAACAACCACACCAACAACAAACTCTACAACAATAGCAAAATCAAACAAAACAATAAAAAACACAGCAAACAGAAACAGGAACCACAATAACACCACGATTGCAATTTATTTATTTATTATTAAGGTATAAAACACAAAACAAAACAACAGCCAAAGGCTGAAAACGTTTGTTTGCAATCAACAAATAAAGAAAACATAGGTAAAACAGTTCAGGTGGAAAAATACAATAATAATCGAACAACAATAACTACAGTCATAACAACAGCAGTAGCAACAACAACAACACCAGCAGCAGCAACAACAATAATAACAAGCAGCAACATCAACAGCAGCAGCAGCAACAATCAATAACAAGCAGCAACAACAACAACAGCAGCAACAATAACAATAACAAGCAGCAACAATCAATAACAAGCAGCAACAACATCAACATCAACAGCAGCAGCAACAATCAATAACAAGCAGCAACAACATCAACAGCAGCAGCAACAACAATCAATAACAAGCAGCAACAACATCAACATCAACAGCAGCAGCAGCAGCAACAATCAATAACAAGCAGCAATAGCAACAACATCAACAGCAGCAGCAGCAGCAACAATCAATAATAAGCAGCAACAGCAACAACAGCAGCAGGAGCAACAATAACAATAACAAACAGCAACAACATCAACAGCAGCAGCAACAATAACAAGCAGCAACAGCAACAACATCAAAAATAACAACAACAATGACAACTATAACTACAACAATTATAACCAACTGCAACAACAATGACAATTAGGATAGCATCATATCAAAATGTGACTAATTTCAGAATATTTCCTGCCTGATTTATCTCCACAGAGAATGAATATATTCATATATTTGCTGACTATAACTGTCTTTCCCTTGGGGAAAAAATGAATCTGAATATTCTTTCCCCTGGATTAGAATACTGTATAACAGTATCTTTCGATGTTACCAGTAATATTAAAGTCAGATACATTTTATCCAGTAATATTAAAGTCCGATACATTTTATCCATCAAAAAGAGGCTCCTGCTAAAGCAAAGTTGTGCTGTCTAATATAATAGGGAGATTTCTATTTGCTCGACAATGTGAAAGTAGAAGGACTTGTCTGTGACTCCTGCACAATGTAGATTCCGTCAATTTCCTCACATGTTCAGATGACGCTCTGCAATCAATGGCTCCTACTGTTGTAACAGGCCTACCTGTACGCTTAGTGCAGTATCTGCCGATAGTGGGCGTTCATAGAGTTTTTTAAAAATAATTAACTCCTAGTCATAGGATACAGATTGGTATGCAGAATTCGGTGACCATCTGTTATTTCCAAAAGATTTTTTTTTTAAAGATAATAATATATTATTCTAATATAGAAATTATATTATTATAGTGCTATTTTAGCACTATTGTTCAGGTGGATGCCTGACCTGCCAGGCTACTTTGACCACCCCAGCTTAATATAATAGCCAATCACCATCTGCTTTCCATTTCAAAATTGTTTGTATCCTAACCGATCCATAATCATGAGTGGAGAAAAAAAAAAGCAGATGAAGTGCCCAAATACAGCATGAACCTCTGTCTAGCTAGAATTATCTAATTTTATTTGATAAGCCACTGCTGTATATGGCTGCCCATATCATGATGTGCCCATATATAGTCATGATGTGATGTCATCATGACCATATTGAGGCATGTCACATGCTTTTGTCAAACAAAATTTGATAGTTTGGACAAGACTTAAAGCTTGGTCTACACTATCAAATTTTATGTGACAAAAATTGTGATGTGCCCATATATGGGCATGATGACATCATATCACATAATTTGAAATTGTATCAAAAAAAAGTTGAACATGTTCAACTTTTTTTGATGTCGTGTGTCAAAAAGTTGTCAAATTTTTTAGAAAACATATTTTGACCATGCAAAGCATGACAATTTTTTAGGCAGTTTGATGTATTTTGAGAATATTGTTCCACCACATTTTATGTGACGCTTTTTTGATGAAATTTGATAGTGTAGATATAGCTTAAGGCTTGAACCCCTACCTCAAAGTTGAGTGTCCATACTGCTATCTCTGCACCAACTCACAGTGTTTTCATTCACACTTTTGTGTGGAGTTGTGACCTTTGGTTGAGAATAGAATAAAACAAGTTTTCAATTACTGTAGCTTTCTTTGATGAATGTGTGTATCTTGTACCTAAGGAGGAAATAATGTCTTTTTTTATCTGAATTTTGATTATCTCTGTGTTTTACTTCATTTCCATGCAGCCTACTCCGGAAATGTATCAGCGTGCTTACCATGCATACAACAACAAACTCATCACTATGACTTACAGGTAAGTCCACGTTGAGTTGATTGAAACAATATCTAACAAGAAAAGCCAATGTGACCTTTTCAGCATGATCATTTATGTAGTAAAGTTTAAGCCACTTTCAATAAATAACAAAATAATAAGAAAAAAATATATATAGAAAATATTTTGATAATGTTATGTTATATTATTATTTAGCAAAAGGTATTAAAAGTACAATAGACAAAAACATTTGAAAAGACATTTGATATGACTTCATATTTCTTTTTTTTTTCATATTACGATACGATATACTCTTTATTGTCAAAATTTAACTTTCCATTTGAAATGTTTGGGTGAAAAAAGGACATTATATCAAAGGAAGACATCTAAGTAATACAAATTGATACAATATATACAATATCAGCAAGTACAATAAATATAATGAAAAACTATCTGGCATTTGTTTGAGATAGTTACCTTTGTTCCGCCCTCTAGAGAACAATTGGCTTGTCCAAATAACAGTACAATGAAATTTAATTTTGTATAGAGTAGAAATTTCTTATATTTCATTATAGAGATGTGCTTCCCTCAACCTCAAAATATTTCCCCATTGCTTTAGGCTTCTTAAGGTATTGATTGACTTTCCCCAAGTCTTTTTCTATTTATTACACCACTACCACCACTGAGCTTATTACTAGACTGTAATAAGCTATTACGGCCTAGAAATTATGCTGGCGGTGCTAAAATGTGATACATAAACACATGGATTTACTAGAACTTAACACACTTCATGTCAATGACCTTCATGCTACAAATCTTTACATTTTTTTTATCCTATCAACTTTCTTATGAAACTGTTTTTCTGATAGGGCATGGTTCAAGTATCATACAAGGAAACGACAGAAACGCATCAATCTGCTGCGTAAGATGGAAGAGGCAGCAAATTACTATCAGACTCGGAAAATACGAGTCCATATGGTGAAGTGGGTACAGTGGTATCGTTTCAGGAAGAACAGACATTCATGTAAGAAATGTTAAATAATTACAATGAGTAAATATGATAAGTGGATTGTGGATGCTGTTGAGTACAATGAAATGATGATGAAGATGAATATGGCATTTATGATTATGATGATAGTGGCAACAGGAGGAACAGGCAATTGCGCATGGTGATGATGAGAATGTGTATGATGATGAAAGAGAATATTAAGGATGATAAAAATAATAATATTTAATACTTTATTATTATTTATGACAATGATGTAATTTATTAATAATTAAAATAATATCAAACATTTAAGGAAAGAACATTAATTTAGACAACAATTAAAATAATGATAGCCACACTGACTAACATTCCCCCCCCCCCCAAAAGTTCATCCACATTTATTTTATTTTTTTAATTTATTTTTGTCTTTTTTGTGATTACACTTTCAGTGATGTAGCACTGGTATCACAACTGGATCACAAGTAAAAGGAATAAAAGAAAACAAAAATGAAAAAAGAAATTGAACTTAAAACAAAACTTTGTTTAAGAAAATCAATATGCACATAAATATAAAACTACTGCATCGAAAACAAAATTGCTTAAAACTAACAACAAAATTGAAAAGGAAGAGGCAAAAAGAAAAATCATTGAATTAAATAAACAAAAATTGTAAAATTAATAATTTCATGTTATTGATCACCAAATAAAATAATGTATGATAATAATATAATAACATTTTCTAAAGTGCCAGTTTAATTGAAGTTGTTGTGTTTGTCAGATGTGAATACGGTATGTAAATTTGTTGTTGTGCGCCATTACTTTATCAAGCCTTGGCTTTATTTTATGTTTTCGCCACTTGCACAGTAACTTATAGTCAAATGAAAAAAAAATGATATTTGAATTAGGAAAATATGATAACTTCTTGTATAACAACTTATTGGTTTCTTCCAATTAGCGGCGTATCAGATAATTCAGACTGTTTACAACATGTCCTTGTCTCGCATGGTGTTTGAAGCTTGGCACAACGTAATGCTTGATGCTCGAAGGACCCGTGAATACTTTGAGGTGAGACAAGTGTCTGAATGTTAAATGTCGCGTTAAACTCTACCGAGATTATCTCAGCCATATTACTGATGATTCACATTTAATACCTCTAACCACGTAGATGCTTCCTCGTTAGTGTGCGTGAAAAAAACATTCGGTTTACTTTTTATGTTTAGATTCTAAGAATATTTTGAGTCTGTGACATGACTGAAAGGCTTAGAACAGACCAGAAATGCAAGTGACAATAATGGTGACGAGGGCAGTGATGATAATGATGACCGTAATGATGATGGTACTAATGACAATCACTATAATTGTGGATATTGATGATGACAACAAAGATGACAGCAACAATGACAACGATGGTGACAAAAATGTGGATTGAGAATGGTGATAATATTATTGAAGACAATGACAATGTTAATATTGTTGATAATATAATGATTACAATGTTGATGAGGATTGACATTTTTTAATGATAATGACATTTGTTAATGATGATGACATTTGTTAGTGATGACAGTGTCGATCATTACAATGTGAATGATGATGACCTTTGTGAATAATGACAACTATGAAGCTGATGACAATCCTAATAGTGACATTGATATTAATGATGACAATGTATGTAATGACAATAAACAATGATGATAAGCGGCTAATTGTTTATGATGAGAATGTTAGAATTGTGATTGATGAGGATGATAACATTTTTTAAAAGTATTGAAAATAAAATTATGAAAATATGATGAGAATTGAACCACAAAAATGGAATTTGGTTTCAAATGGTTTATTTCACTCCAGATTTTTGTATAACTTTAATTCTAATGTGTGATATATTTTCTTAGCATTATTCACCGATTTATTTCATGTACGTGAGTCGATATCATAAAAAAGACAGATACAGTAGGTCAAAGTGTGATGTGTCTATAGAATGTGCTGTAGTAATATATTTGAAGTTATATGAACATAAACAAGAATGTAAATGGGAATATTGGAATTAAGACAGACAGATAAAAACGACGAAGGGATTGATAGAGAGATTGACGTAGGTGAATAGTCATAAGTGATAGATTGTTCTGCGATGGATTAGGGGAGTGAATATCTATTTTCTTGACTGAATGATTTGAAAGGTAAGAGAGGAAAAAAAAACACATTATGTAAAGGAATCATAAGAATTATTATTGGCTAGACATTTTGTATTGTGCCTTTTTCTTTCAAGAAAACAATGCATCAAGAAACTTAGACAGTAGGAGTGAACAAGTATAAAATTGTAACCTTATACAGTAGTTACTAAGAAAAGTTGTGTAGTTGTTTTTTTTTTTATATTTAACTTGCAGATGCTTAGGGGTTGTTCAACATTATCAACATTTTCACAAGTGTACAAACAGTACGTTAGTGCAAGGGGGTAGACAAAATCTTACATGCATAAAAATGTTAATTCAAAATAACATGCAATATGTAAAATAATAGTGAAATTGTAATGCAACCATGGATGTAATGCAACCATGGATATGATATTAATTTTTAAGCAACCAAGTAGAAGTACGTTGCTTTAGTTGACTTCACAAAAAAATGTAGAACTTTTTTTTTGTGAAATCAGCATTTGTTTGTATACTTTCGGAGGGGAGGGAGGGATACCGAAAAATATTACTGTTTGTACACTTATGAAAATATTGATAATTGTGAAGGACCCCTTAATTACCTCCGCCAAAGGAGGTTATGTATTATCGGCGTCTGTCTGTCTGTTAGAAAGATTATGCAAAACTAATTAATGGTTCATCATACAATTTAGTGGAATTGTACTATAGTATTCGAAGAAAGAGATGAATAATCTTAAGCAGAAAAAGATGTGGTAAAGGTCACAGAAATTTATTTATTTTTTTTGTTTTTTTTTACCCCCCGAGCATAAAATAATATAATGGAAAGCCTTGTCTGCGTATTGTTCAGTATTCGGGTAAGACGGCAGAAAATAATGAAGTCGCGCGCCCATACATGGTCTGCGTATTGATCGGTATTGAGGCACGGGGCTGAGGTATGCACTCTGTGGATTTACTGCTCTAGGTTAAATTTCTAACTTTTGTAATGATTTTTAAAGAATAATGATGATTGTAATTGTAATAATAAAAAGCATTATTTTCAACAGAACAAGAGGGACCGCTCACTGGTTCGTGTGTTCCTCCAAGCTTAAATACGATACAGGCGCAAGTTTATTATATTGGGTTTTTTGGAAAAGTTAATAAGATAGAAATTTTTAAATAATTAGAATGTTTATTTGTACAAAAAAATAATAACTTTTGTAATAATTTATAAAGAATAATGATGATTGTAATTTTATTAATAAAAAATATTATTTTTAATAGAACAAGTTTATTATATTGGGTTTTTTGGAAAACCAAAGATAGAAATTTTTTAATAATTAAAATGTTTATTTTTACAACAAAAAAAATTATTTAGAATGTTCATTTGTACAATATTATAATATCTTGAAATTGAAAAAAATAAAATTTCTTAAAATTGAAAAAAAAAAAATGAATACCAAGACGTGATGCGAACTCACAACCTTAAGTTCTTTAGAACACATCCTCAACCAACTGCTCCATCCATGCGTCGTGCCCTATTTGTGGTAATGGCAGTAATGTACAGTCCTTGCTGAAACCCCTGTTTTGTTTTGTAGGTGTCGGGGGAGCCCTGGGTTCCAACTTAAAAAACGGCAATGAACGTTTGTTGGAAATCACCTGTAGTTTACCTGTATAAAATTTTCTGCACATCCGTTCAAAACTGGCGACGCTGGACACTTTTAAAGTTTTGGTAACAAGAGCAAGAATAATGAAGTCGCGCGCCCATACATGGTCTGCGTATTGATCGGTATTGAGGCACGGGGCTGAGGTATGCACTCTGTGGATTTACTGCTCTAGGTTAAATTTCTAACTTTTGTAATGATTTTTAAAGAATAATGATGATTGTAATTGTAATAATAAAAAGCATTATTTTCAACAGAACAAGAGGGACCGCTCACTGGTTCGTGTGTTCCTCCAAGCTTAAATACGATACAGGCGCAAGTTTATTATATTGGGTTTTTTGGAAAAGTTAATAAGATAGAAATTTTTAAATAATTAGAATGTTTATTTGTACAAAAAAATAATAACTTTTGTAATAATTTATAAAGAATAATGATGATTGTAATTTTATTAATAAAAAATATTATTTTTAATAGAACAAGTTTATTATATTGGGTTTTTTGGAAGACCAAAAATAGAAATTTTTTAATAATTAAAACGTTTATTTTTACAACAAAAAAAATTATTTAGAATGTTCATTTGTACAATATTATAATATCTTGAAATTGAAAAAAATAAAATTTCTTAAAATTGAAAAAAAAAAAATGAATACCAAGACGTGATGCGAACTCACAACCTTAAGTTCTTTAGAACACATCCTCAACCAACTGCTCCATCCATGCGTCGTGCCCTATTTGTGGTAATGTCAGTAATGTACAGTCCTTGCTGAAACCCCTGTTTTGTTTTGTAGGTGTCGGGGAGCCCTGGGTTCCAACTTAAAAAAGGGCGATGAACGTTTGTTGGAAATCACCTTTAGTTTACCTGTACAAAATTTTCTGCACATCCGTTCAAAACTGGCGACGCTGGACACTTTTAAAGTTTTGGTAACAAGAGCAAGAACAGCAGTGAGCCTCTGGGGACCCAAAAATATTCTTATTTAATACTAGGTACATTTTTACATGTTTCCTAGACGTAGATATTTTTTTTAAGTATAATCTCTGTTGAATCATTTTTTGCTCCCTTTGTGAAGTTTAAGGTATGCCCTCTGGGGATTGGTGTTAGTGTTGTTTAATATCAAATACATAAATTATAAGTTAATAAAACTAATAATTGGGTAAAGAAGATTCAAGATAATTTTATTGTCCGAAAAATTTAACATTAAATGAGAACATAATAATAAATGAAAGGAGTTTCAAAAAATGATTGGGGGTGGGGGGTGGGGAGATGAATTTTTTTTATTCAACATTTATGATTTTCACCTTCATTTCCTCCTAAAATGCTATTACCTGGAGGTCAGTTATAAAGGTCAGAAAAGTTTGTTAATCATCCCGCTTGCTGGATGATCAGAACATTACGCACACGATTATTTAACTAATATGTAGTGTAATTGTTTTTGTAATCTCTGTATTATTATTAAGGAGATTACTGCACTTTGTATCAAAAGTGACGTAAAGCAGTGATTAAGATGCATGTGTCGTATATTCATTACATAACAAATGCCAATAATTACATTTGTTTTAATTATAAGCTGAGTGAAGATTAGAAGAACAGTGTCCTTGTTATTTCCATACTGAGTATTCATTTCAAATTGAGTGGCTGATGTTGATTATATTAGATTTTTAATTTGTTCTTTTAATGTGAGGTGTATTTGGTCTCTTTAAGGGGTATATTGTACCCTGAAAATGACAAAAATCATAACAATAATTTTTGAATTAACTTGCTCATTTTGCGTTAACATACAAATTATTAACTTGAGCTTAGAAATGATTGAATTTTTAAAAAAGTGTACCCTGATGATGTTTATATTAATAATGATAAAAATAATAATAAAGCACTTCCAGTGACTGGTGAAGTGTTTCTATTATATAATTTTCGCTGTAAAATTATTTCAAATTAAAAACATTTTAAAATACTCTGATTACAAAATACTCTGATTACTATGTTTAAGTTAATAATGATAATTATTATGTTACTTCAAAATGACCAAGTTAATTTCAGAAATTAGTTTTTTTTTGTTTTTTTTTGTATTTTGCATGGGACAATACATCTTTTAATTTGGACCACTAGTTTTCACAAGTTTTATTTCAGATACAGTGTGTTGGAGTTTATTTTATTAGATATTAATTTGTTCTTTTATTTTCTAATAAGGTTTTATCCCTTTAACCATTACGACTGGTGTATATTATATCCATGTGCTTTCCCAAGAAGTATTCATTTCACATTGGTTGGAGTTTTTTTTTT